AATTACGAGTCCAGGCGATGTTGTGGCTACGTATTCATGCGATGATAGTCTAACCCATATTATGAATTACGAGTCCAGGCGATGTTGTGGCTACGTATTCATGCGATGATAGTCTAACCCGTAGGTGATGAATTACGAGTCCAGGTGATGTTGTGGCTACGTATTCATGCGATGATAGTCTAACCCGTAGGTGATGAATTACGAGTCCAGGCGATGTTGTGGCTACGTATTCATGTTATGATAGACTAACCCTTATCATGATTTACAAGTCCAGGTGATGTTTTGGCTGTGTAATCATGCGATGATACCCTAACTCTTGCTAGACACATATTGAGGGAGTAATCCCCAGAATAGTATTGTCTATGCAATATAGGCGATGAACCTTAGGTAAAGTTCGTAGGAACAATCATATAAGGAAATACGATGTAAAGAGATGAGAAGTAAATATGATATAGGAGATGACCCTTGAGATAATATCTTTAGGGAAGACTAAAAGAAGATAATGGGGATGGGTAATTGGGTTGATTGTTTGATTGTTTAAACATAATAACTATATTATTGTGGGTTGAAAACCCTATGTACTCACCAGGTTTCCCAACCTGACCCACTCAGTTTATTTACATTACAGGTGACGAAATGAAGTGACTTTACACTGAGAGATTTAAAGAGATGTAGATCACTAGTGTAAATAATTGTAAGTTCTGTTTATGCTTATGTTTCTGTATTAACGATGACATCCCAAACGTTTTAAGATGAATAAAAATACGTTTCTTCGAAAATGTTTTAATAACGTATTTATCGTGTTTTTCTGGGAACAAATTCCGCAACCTTTTTATAAAATGAAGTAATCTGATTTTTATAAAGAATAAACAAAATCGGTCTTTTCTGGCCGTGATTTTGGGGATGTCACACGCTGATCTTAGCCCTACCCGAGGGCATGGAGGAGTTTGTGGTATATTGCGATGCGTTAATCTCAGGCTTAGGCGCAGTATTGATGCAGAGGGGGCATGTCATTTCTTATGCCTCGAAGTAGCTGAAGCCTCACGAGGCAAATTATCCGACACATGATTTAGAGTTGGTGGCGGTGGTCTTCGCCCTCAAGATATGGCGGCATTACCTATACGGGGTTCGATGTACCATTTACACGGACCACAAGAGTTTGAGGTACCTCATGTATCAGCCAAATCTGAACATGAGGCTGTTTCGGTGGTTGGACGTGGTGAAGGATTATGATTGCGAGATCCTTTACCACCCGGGGAGGGCCAATGTGATGGCTGATGCGCTTAGCCGCAAGGCGGCGCCGATCAGGGATGTTTGCATGAGGATGACTGTGGTGACTCCCCTGTTGGAGCAGATTCGGGAGGCTCAACAAGAGGCTATGAAGGAGGAGCATCGAAAGAGTGAGCGAATAATGGGTCAAGTCACCTCCTTCGATTATGATAGTCGGGGGTTATTGACACTACACCGTAGGGTGTGGGTTCTGTATCATGGAGGCGTGCGCCAGATCTTGATGGAGGAGGCGCACAAATCCCGATTCTCTATTCATCCAGGGGCGACGAAGATGTATCGGGATCTTCGCCTAAACTATTGGTGGCCCTGCATGAAGTGGGATATGGCGTGGCACGTCGAACGGTGTTTGACCTGCATGAAGGTCAAGGCCGAGCATCAGAGACCGCACGGCAAGATGCAACCGTTGGATATCCCGTTGTGGAAATGGGAGGATATTACGATGGATTTTATCACTAAGCTTCCACGAACGGCACGAGGAGTAGATTCAATTTGGGTCATCGTGGATTGGTTGACCAAGAGTGCCCATTTTATTCCGATTCAGGAGAGTATCTCGGCCGAAAAGTTGGCCGATATCTATATCAAGGAGATAGTGGTGCGGTACAGGGTACCAGTGTCAGTGATATCAGATCGAGATGTGCGGTTCACTTCCAGGTTTTGGAAGAGGTTTCATGATGAGTTGGGCACTCGTCTGCATTTTAGCACCGCCTTTCACCCGCAGACGGACGGTCAGAGTGAGCGGACCATCCAGACTTTGGAGGATATGTTACGGGCATGCGTGTTCGATTTCGGTGGTAGCTGGGATACCTATCTTCCCTTGGGTGATTTCTCGTACAACAACAACTACCACGCGAGTATTAACCATCCCCTATTTGAGATGTTGTACGGTCGGAGGTGCAGGACCCTGATATGCTTGGGTGAAGTTGGACAGAGGGTCATGGGGAGCACCGAGGTGGTGCTCAAGTTGAGCGAGAGAATCCAGCAGGTTCGGAGCAGGCTTCAGACTGCGCAGAGTCGGCAGAAAAGTTACGCCGACAAGCGTCGATCAGACCTAGAGTTCCAGGTCGGGGATATGGTTCTCCTGAAGGTGTCGCCTTGGAAAGGCATCATTCGATTCAAGAAGCGGCGCGAGATTCATCGGACCGTTCAGGGTTGTAGCCCGGGTGGGCAAGGTGGCATATAGGCTGGATCTGCCAGCCGAGCTCAGCCAGATCCACAACACCTTTCATGTCTCCTAGCTGCGAAGTGTCTCGTGGATGATTCAGCAGTGGTGCCATTAGAGGATATACAGGTTGATGACAACCTGAATAACATTGAGCGCCCAGTCGCAATCCTCGACCGGAAGTCGAAGGATCTAAGGAACAAGAGGGTGGAGCTAGTGAAAGTGCAATGACAGCACCGCAATGGTTCGGAATGGACTTGGGAGCCGGTGGAAGAAATGATGGAGCATTACCCCGAGCTGTTTCAGGATCGAGCGGCAGACTTCAAAGAGGAAGTCTAAAATAAGTGGGGGAGATTTGTAGCACCTGGTTCCTGGTACATAAAACTTATCTAAGTATTGGTCATTTTTAGCCTTGGACTCGGCGAGTTGTAGCTCCGACTCGCCGAGTAGGGATGGGGTCCGGGGGCACGTTTAAGTTGGCGACTCGGCGAGTCCATATTCTAGACTCAGCGAGTCACCGTTGTTTGATGAAACCCTAAATTTCAAGGGTTTGCACCCTATTTAAACCCTCATTTCCGCCCCAAGCTCGCCCCATTCACCCTCAGAGCTCCCAACATCGTTTTTACCTTTATTCCTTGTGAGATTGAAGTGTTTTGGTGTGTTCTTGAAGTTTTTGAGGGGAAAGAAGAGTAAATCAAGAAGAGGAGAAGGAGGCCAAGCATCTTTGTGACATCTCAACGTTTTCCTTGAGGTATAGCTCGTTTCCCCTCTGTTTTCAAGCTTGTAGTCTCTATTAGCTTCATGAAAGTCCTTCTTAAGCCATTCCCCAAGCTTTGTAATAAGTTGGTAGCCTCTAGATCTAGGCATGATTTAGCCCCTGGAGCTTGGATCTACTGCCTTTATCGAGTCATATTGCATGAAAGTCCTAGATCTACCCCTTTTGGTGCACTTTGAGCCCTAAAACCTTCATTGGTGATTATCTACACGTAAAGTTAGAAACTTTACGTGTAATCCATGCCCTAGAAACCCAGATATTTGAATGGCATGAGCTGGATTCAAGAAAAATCGAGTGTATAGTAATTGCATGTGGCCGACTCGGCGAGTCGTCCCCCAGACTCGGTGAGTCGAGCCGCGAGTCCCCGAGTTTCCCCTTTTCGTGTTTGCGGGTTGGAGTAGTGAGTCATAGGGTGTGATTCAGTGGGTTGGAAGCCAGAATCACTCATGAAGTCACTCGGCGAGTCAATGCCATGAGTCAGCGAGTTCATGGCAATCTTCTTGTCTCAAGAACAACTCGGCGAGTTGTTCATACAACTCGGCGAGTCACAGCTTAGAGTGTTCTTCGGATGAAGGCGAACATGGCGAGTTGTTCATACAACTCGGCGAATAGGATGAAGGAATATTGGACTTGGGTATAGAGAAAGGGACTCGGCGAGTTGGCAAGCCAACTCGGCGAGTCTGGTCAACTGGCAGTTGACTGTGACTTGACTCATGACTTGTTAAGGGTAAATGGACAATTTACCCTGAGGGCGGTTAGCAGTATTTAACTAAGTGTTTGGTGGGAATTACAGCCGGAGGATTTCCGGAGCAGCAGCAGTAGACAGACCATTCCCATATAGATCAGTAGCTACTACGAGGTGAGTTACCTTCCAGTAGTGGTGGGTCTAATGCTACAATTCCGGCCCACCAGTAAGAGATGTATGATAGATGATTGTCTTTGTGATATCATCTAGGTTAGCTACTACCTGATATATTATATGCTAGCATGATATGTTGTATGTGATAGTAGTAGAGTTCGGTTGTTAGGACCGAAGGGTAGTCAGACACCCCAGATACGTCTGACAGTATATGATGATATGTTTGCATGCTGGCTTTTTACGTTATATGCGATAGAGGTAGTAGGAGGGGACTAGTCCCCGAGTTCGGTTGCTAGGACCGAAGGGTAGTTCAGGCACCCCAGATATGTCTGATAATATGTTATGTTATGATATATGTGATAGTAGCAGTAGGGGGTGAAATAGTCCCCGAGGTTCGGTCGTCAGGACCGAAGAGTCGCCAGCACCTCAGAATGGCTTGACATGGGTAGTCAGCACCCCAGAATGGCTTGATACGGGTAGGTCGGCACCCCAGAATGGTCGTACCGGGTAGGTCGGGCACCCCAGAAATGCCTGGCAATATGTATGATATGTGATTGTATGCTATGCGGTATGATGAGGGAACTCACTAAGCTTTGTGCTTACAGTTTTCAGTTTTGGTTTCAAGTACCTCTTCTTCGAAGGAGAAAGAGGTGGCGCGGTAGCGGCCCAACACACACATGCTCCATATTCCGCATCATGAGATCTTCCTGGGGATTTGTACTCTGACATTATTATGTTTTATGAAATGTTTTTCCAGACATGCGATATCTTTATGAAATATTATGATCAGTAAATGTTTTAATTTGAATGTTTTGCTAAATATATGTTTTCAAAAATGAAAATTTTGGCTCGTATTTTTACAGTGTTACAGGTTTGTTGATTTCATGAATTGCAGCCAAACTTAGATTGACTAAATATCATTTTGATTTGATCACTAAAATATTATAAACGCCGAATATAACCTAAAAAAACATATAACAGTGTCTAAAAACATCAAATTGTAATAATAACCAAAATGGAAAAGCAATAGCAAAGTCTTTTCAGGCCATTCAATGCCTTCAACTTCATAAACAATAGATAATCCTAGATTTTGTACCTTTTCGATTGCTTCTTCTTCTGTTTGAAATGATTTTACACATAAAATAGGTCCAAAAACTTTCTCTCTCCAAATTTGCATGGATGTGGTGACATCACTAATTATTGTTGCCTCAATGTAGAATCCACTTTTTAAATGCTGAAATTTTTATATAATATGTATGTTTCCAATTTAAAAAATTAATTTAAGATGACATTAGAAACTCTTAAGTTGTACCTCAGGACGTTTTCCTCCAAATGAAATGGTTGCACCTTCACTTTTGGCAGTTTCAACAAATATCAATATCTTCTCGTACTGAAATATTGAATAGTTTACAAATTAATCTTTTTTTTTTTTAACAAAGATTGAGAAATTCTTATTTGGTTAATTATTATATATATATATATATATATATATATATATATATATATATATATATATATATATATATATATATATTCTACCTGTTCACCACTAACAACGGATCCAAGCCTACAACCTTCTTCTAATGGATCTGGAATCTTGATATTTTTAGCCAACTTCACAACCTTCTCTAAAAACTCCTTAGCAGTACTTTCCTGAAACATAATAGTGCTTAGTAAGCAAAAGTTATTGAAAATCATTAGTGGTATTTAAAAGTACGATGCTTTAATAAAAAAATATATAAAAGTAGGATCTTACAATTAAACAGAAACAATTGTGAGTATGTTGGTACTTCATGTATTTAGAATGTAGTTGAAGCATACAAGGATGCAATTTAGCAATTGGTTTTTCTGGATCCTAGTAACAACTTAATTTCATAACAGCAACTTCAGCACCACCTAGTATCTGCCTTGCCTCTGGAAGTGGTTTGCTAATTTTCTCAACCTATCCATGTTATTTGGTCCTATTACAAAATAACAAAAATCATTAAAAAAAATCGATATTATCACCAAATTTTAAAAATGAAATCTGAAATAAAAAGAAACAATCCTAAAAAAATATTTATGATTATTTAAATCAGAAATTAATTTCTATCACTTCATATGGTGTACTAATAGATTACTCTATCTATTATTGTATCTAGTATCCATTATAGATTACTCTATCTATTATTGTATCTAGTATCCATGTTCATGTTGTGGTCTTGTTACTTATCATTTCATCTATTATCTAGAGAATATTTACCATTTTTTCTAAATAATTAAATGAAGTCAATGATTCGTCACAAAAAAAAACACACCTTATGGCTTATGATGTATGCATGACATCATCCCAGATTTTAATCGATATGGTAAATATAGATAATTATGGATGCCAAGCATCATTATTTATTATTCAGGTCCTCCTCTGTATGTATTTAAATATTATGTATTTAAATATTATGTGGACATTGTTGAATAAGATTTTACAATTATATGTTATTCGTTTATATCTTTTTTTTCACCTACTTCTACCAAAATAAAGATGCATGGAAAAAATATTGTTTCATAATACATTTTATAACTATATATTACTATTTTCATTTTTAATGGAAGAAAAATATTTTGTTTTGATTACGATGTAATTACTAAACGACAGTCTAGGAAATAATAATAATAAATGGGCCTATGTACTTCCTACAACTAAAATGTAAACCACAATAAATAAAATGGAAAATAAAGACTTAACATATTTAAAGATTAGAGTTGGTACTTCCAGGAAGTAATTACAATTAATGGGATACTTGTAGTTTGTAGATTGGGGGATTGAGGTCTATGCTGAAGAGCCTGCAAGACCGATAAAAATAAAATTAAAAAAATGAACCATCATGACATGGTTGTTGAAGCTAATTCCATAAAATTAAGAAAATTAAGAAAAGCTTATATTTTTATAAGAATGAAAACAAAAATAACCACTTATTTTTTTTTTACCTTATTAACTCTCCATCTCCAACACCCTTTAGAAGATGGGAGGCTAAACTCTTATGGAGCCTTCAAAGTTGCTCTTCTATATTGATATCCTTAAACTCTTCTTAAAACTCCTCCAAACTTGCAAAATGCGTAAAAATTATAGTAACAGAAGATGATGTTTAAGGATTGTCTACTTTTCCTTATATAATATTACACATAGCTTATGGTAAGGGGTTGCATTAATACAAACCTTCCCAGCATCAAGGAAATGTATGAGCATGAAAAGGTCATCCAAGTTGTTTTGAAAGCCATCTTCAATTCAGATTAAATATATATAAAAAAAATAAGTAAATTATACACTTAAACACTATAACAAACCTGGAGAGGGGTTCCGGTTAATAATGTACAATGTTTGGTGTCAAACTGTTTTAATGTAAAAACCAACTTTGAGTCTTTGTTCCTGATACGCTT